TTCCCATAAGAGAGTGGTGCGCGTTTATTGGTACAAAAGGTTCATTACTTTTTCAAAACAAGGAATCGTATTGAGGCAGAGAATAAAGTTTTTTATTTTTTTTATTTGATAGACTTTTTACAATCAATTCTCATTGAGAATTACAAGTAAATTATTTTGGCGTGGTACTGTAACTTGGATTATAAGAGTTTATAGTATGTTTGATTCTAGTTGAATCTAATGCTTCAATCATCGTGTCAAGTGATTGGGTAACTAATGGGTTTTGATGATTGTTAACTCTTATATTATATCTGCTACTGAATTTTGATGTTTCTTCTTTAACTGTGGATATCTTAAGGTATCTTAAGGTAATGTATTGTTTCGTTGGTAACATACCAAGGTGCATCTATTAAGAATCTTAGAGTTTTTGATTGGAATCGTTGGAGAATTTCTATTTTGGAATTACTCGCTGTTCCCCATAGTTGGATCCCATAGGTCCAAACAGGTTTTAAATATGGCTTTTGTGGAGAAACCTGTGTGTCACCTCTCAGTTGTAGATAAAATTCAATGTTCCATTCGTTTAGACAGATGGCATAGAGAAAGAATTGCCATTTATATTTTTCTGTGTAGGAACAACTTTATGATACCATCTTCTAGGATTATTAATAATTATTTAGGAAAGGAAATGTTGAAGTAATTTATGAAGTAAATATGTGTAATTTATACAATCGGAGACAGAGGTATAATAAGTGAAGCAGTAAAAGGTACGACGTTTTCGTTCCATGTGGCTTGTTTACTCAAAAATATATATTGGGTTGGCGTTAGTCCTAGGGGCGCGTTGCATATCTTCATTAGGACAAGCCATCGTAGTTGTTCGATGGAGATTATATTTACAATTATATATACAAGTGTTGATTTAACAGGGTTTATCAATTAATCGTGATTATTAGACACTCTTAAAGTAAAGACAATGTTCTTAGGTTCAAACGAATCCACGGTGAACGGGATAACTCTTTGTTTAATTGAATATATTTCGAAACTCAAAGTGACGTTACCTGTGACGCATGGTATCTTTCTGACTGACTGACCTGACGTTGTGAGTAAACTCTTCAAGGAGATCATAAGAATAAAAGACTGACACGATCGCATTTGTCGATTGCGTATTGACCGGGGTTATCAACAAAATTCCAGGCTCCGTTACTAGGCAGACCCGCGTAGAGCCGTCATTGCTCCTGCCCCGGGGCTCGTTTGTTAATACAGCGTGTGTCCGTCGATATTGGTACTTCTACTGTTAAGTAAAAACGTTCATCCCGTGACAGTGGCTACGTTCGGCGACCAGTTGTGTCACCTCGACCCTAAGCCCTCTGTCACAAACCTCGGGCAAACATAATCAGATCGTATCGCAACGACTACTTCTAAGTTCTATTATTTAAGTACAGCTATAATAAATAGTTTAGACCAAAATATTGGGGTTTGTTGAAGTGGTCACCACTCTCTAGATCTGATCTTTTTAGTTTTCTCAAGCACTGAAGCCATCGACAGGGTATAGACAATAGACTGGGAAGAAGACAGACCATAAACAGTAGACATGCGACGTTGGCTTCGGGCTTTTCAGTTGTAGGGTAACACTGCTAGCGTGCGGATCTGGACCAGCTCAAATTATATTTCTACTTGTAATTACACTTCTGTACTAAAATATATTTTCTACCTTACAATTTATCCACGGGTTTCTCTGTTTATACATCTAATAGCCTCCAACAGGAAATTTACTTATTCTCATTGCTATGTAGAACATTTCAAGCAGTCTTCAATTGTTTCTTTGTCATTTTGTATTGCTGCGAGATAACCATTCAAAGTATGTAATTTTAATTTATACAAACTATTTATAGGTGTTTGGAAAAGAATTAAAGATTTCACGCAAACTACCAGTAGATATACGTCATCTCATAACGCGATGTTTCCGAGAGTTCAGTTGAAAACAGCGAGAAAATATTTGTTAAATTTTTATCAGTTGTAAAAAGTACGGGGAGATTTATCGTTGATCGATTGTGAACAGATCGTCTTTTATTTTCACGTGGTTTATGAAAACCAAGGATTTCGTTACGTATACAACCTAACAACGATCTAATACATCCTGTTAACAAATTTTGTGATCTGTTAGATAGGAGATTCTTCTTGTTTCAATATAAATTCAATTTTAATATTCATGAATCTACGATAAAAAAAAATATGTTAAAAGTTCATATCTATTTGACCTTGTTTTTTAGTTGCAGCGAATTTTGTTCTCTACAAGAGGCGTTTAAACCGACCTTCTTACGTCTGAACGCAAGCCTGGGGACGTTTTGTCATTGGATTTTTACTTATGGGGTTATTTCTCTTCTCCTATTTTCTTCTTTTATTGACAGTAAGGTCATGTTGCTGAAAAAAGCTGAAATTTTCGCACCACGTGCGATCGCTCAAATAGATGATCGTGTCTATATCCAATGCCAATATCATTTTGTAATACGTGCTTATCGAGAACGTATGACATGCACATTTAATAATGCAACTCGTCGTTCTTTTTATTTAACAACTTTATCTTACCGCACGTTTGTGGCGCGTATCGAGTTTTACTATCGACGTTACCGTAAATTCTCTTATTGTGTGGTTAAATTCATTCCTGTTACCTGAGACATTTACAACACAATCTCACTACGCGCGTATTTATGCGTTAAGATCTTGCGTTTGTCTGGTTTTAGTTATAAATTATCGAAATTCTATAAAGTGTATTAAATTACATTTTACGTTTGATTTGCATTTGTGCTCGTATAAATACAACGAATCGTTGATCTCTTAGGCAATTCGATACCGACAAACATTGTGGAATCATGTATCTGACCAAAGAAAGGACAACTTCCTGCAAAGTTTCCCATTTCGCCCGTAACAGATTTTTCTCAGTCCAAAGTATCGTATTTATTCGATATAATGTACGTTCGGCGTAATGATGGTTTTAAAACAGCTGCAATTGTTTGAATCCTCGCAATACCCTTCTTTTCTTCTAATTATTACAATGTTGACAATGTCAGAATATTATTTTTAATATATTGGCCACGATTATAGACCAATTCGTTGTTTTTGTATTTCATGCATTGCGTCTCACGAGTAATGAGTAACCATGGCTGAATAATAATAGTAATCAAGCTGCAGCTACGCTTAATAAGTCGTAAAATTGCGTGGAAAAATTAATCGATGATTTCTCAACCATTGTATTTATTAGAAACCGTAAATTAATATTATAAAATTGATAATCGTCAAAAGCAACATTGGCTTGAACGAGGCATTGACAAAAAGAAAAAAAAGATGATCTAAATCTAATATCCCAGAAAACTGAGTAATTCACTGCCTGAAATGGATTTTAGTATAAAATATGTACAAGATTAACGGCAATAATTGATTTTATTATATTATCTGGATTTCACTCGGAAGAAATGAATTTTCACTTTGATACGTTCAATAAATCTGATTGGAGCAAATTAACGCTATAAACTCACATTCAGAGAATATGTGGTTTAGTTCGTTTTTGCCTTCGTTGTTTAAGCTACGAAATATATTCTGGAAAAACGAACGATTTCACGTTTGTTACAATTAGCTGCGAATTATGAGACGATTAATTACAAGGCTATTCTATTAACCCTTTGCGCTCGGAATTTTATTTCAATTTCGTCAGCAGCAGCTCCCAACGCTTTTAAGTGTTTTATTTGAAATTTACTTTAACTAAAAAATAAAACAATTTACTTAAATACCAGTTTTATTCACAATATTGTTGTATCTTTTAATTTTTAAGTGTCTGATATATATTGGAACAATTTCCAGGGTCCAATCCTGCTTTTCCTTCGCACGTTTCACAAAAAGAGGTGGAACTGAGAAAATGTCGAGTGGGTCTCGACAAAGGAGTTCCTGAGATAAAAACTGATGTCGAGTCACATTCCACATAGGAGTGCCAAGTGTTAACGTTCGATTCTAAAAAAAAAACAAAAAAATGTAAACCATTGTGGTTGTTATCGTTTTATTATTCGGTATTTCTCTATTACATTCTCCTTATTTCTAAGTTGCTGCTTGTAACCGCAAGTAAATAGGTAAAATTTCCTCGATCTAACTAACGTCACTCCACTGTCGTCAACAGTACAGCAAACTTTAATGGGTTAAGCGGTGGAAACATATAATTGATCAGCATCTGGTTACATCACACCGAACGCCAATTTAGTCGCAAGATCGAACGGGTTGCTAGCGTTAGACAATAGGTTTCCTCGCGGCTTCTAGTTTTATAATCTCGCCGCAAAGGGATCTCCAGAGAGGCGCATCCACTTCCTGGTTGCTTTACAGAACGAGAGTCGACGTTGGCGCTCATTATTTAGTCTTCGATGTTACGCAGAACGATGATTTATACGTGGCTCGCGTACAATGCAAATCGTTATTCTCATTGTTCAAACAACTCGTCGTACTGGGCAAATAATCAACAATTTGGCGAGATCAAAGGAATTTACCATTCGTAAAGATATTTGTTTAAATAGCTTTGTTCAATGTATCGCCATTCAAAGTTGTTGAATCGTTCGGCGCACACGATGATGGAAATTTGGTTAAGGATGGCTTAAATTTGTTTCAAATTGAAAAATATTTTGAATGTGGAAATAACATTTTTGAGAGGAGGAAGAAAGATTGGAATACGTTTGTGCGGAAACGTTGGTGTATTTCGATGCTTGGTCCATTGATAAATATTGACTAAATTATAGGATTTTACCAACTGTATGCAAAATTAAATATTTTGCACTTGAAATACAGACGGAAATAAATTACTTGTATGCTCGGACAAAATTTTAGTTGTTTTCATGATCGTGTGTTGATAGGTATTAGTATAGTAATGCATGATAAAATCTAGCACACAATGAACAATATTTATAATCGAACAAAAGAAATAAAAGAGTCCTATGTTACTCTTAGTATAATGAATTTGTCTGGATATATATAACTTAGCATTGTTTTTAATTTAATTTAATCTAATTTAGCATAGAATGTTTTGTATGTATAATACTTTTGAATTATGTCACACACCTAATAAGATGACTCAGAATTTCCCGGAAAAACTACGAACCTGTAAAGTAAAGTAAAAAGCAACTTCTGTTTCCAGAAGCTGTCAAAACTTGAAAAAGGCTGAACAAAATGAAATTGAGAAACATAATTTCCCGGTATATCCTGTTTTAGTTTTTATGTTTAGGGCGAAATAAATAATCGAAAATCGAACACTTTTTTCCACCAAACGCGAATAAATTTAGGGAAGAATGACACCAGGTACGCATCTGCAAGGTTCGCGATAATCCGAATTACAAGCGTTACGAAAAAAAAAAATGTACGTTATATAAAAACGTTGCATAAAAACGTGACATAAAAACGTGACATAAAACTCGTTGCAAATTTTGGCGAATCTTTTTATATACATGGGTTAGATATCTGTTGTATATAAATATTGTTAAAAAGAAAGAAAAATAGTTTAACGATGTGAACTGGCCACGTTATCTTCCTGCTTGGTATTTATTCCAGCAGAAGTTAAAAAATGTAAATTTTAGACGAGAGGCTTTTTCAACTTTACAAGGAAATCTTCGTGAGTCATTTCAACGAAATTATAAGGCTGAGTTAACGCAAGATATGCCACTATACGCGAAAGCAGTACAATCTTCTACTCGTAGCCTCGCAAAACAACTGAAGATAAGCCAGTGTTGTAAAACCAAGGTTTGATAGCGGTATAAGTAATAATTTTGCTCTCTGACGCAAAACCGCTGCAACTATAAATATACTATTTTACCTGATAAAAATAGTAACATGATGTAAACCGTCTGTTGGATAAAAGCAACTTTCAGTTATTTTCAGTTGATGAGCCACCATCAACGACGTCAAGCGACGATTTCGAAGAAATTACAAGACCCCGATTTTTGTTTTCCAAATCTTCTCTTCCGCAACAGGTGCGCGAAGTAATAGAAACGATCGATCGTATCGTCAGTGGTAACATTTGCTACGGAAAATCAGATACGAACAGCGGCAAGATAGCTAGGTGGTTAGAAGTGGGGAAATTTGGTGACGCGTTTACAACGCACGATGCCCAGAAGCACCTCGTTAGCCTTTGGCCGTCGTATTTACTCCCTGCCGTCGTAATCCGAGTCTTGAGTAGGAATAGAGAGGGCAGGCAAGAATAAAGAGAAAACAGAGAGAAAGAAAGAGAGAGGAACAAGGAGAAGGAACCTTGGCCATGACGACCAGTTAACCGTTGTTTTGTTCTAAATGGAAATCTTGATTGTGCCTTTGTTTCCAGCTTTTTCTCTTCAGCTTTTCCGGCAACTCCCCATCCACCGATGCTTTCTCCTTTCCTTTCTCTGCCTCTCTATTTCCTTTTATTTCTCCGCGACCCTGCGGCTCTGCGACAAACGTTCTATCCTCTGTATATTCTCTCGTTCCGCACAAGTTCTCAACCTTCTCGTTATCGCATACCGCACGGAATTAACGCTAGCGTAATCAGACCGATCAAACCGATCAAAGCGATGAATTTGTAAATTTTCGTAATAATTCTATGGGTTTGCAAGGGTGTATTTTTGGGATTTTGCGTATCTTCTATTCTGAGTTCTTGAGGATGAGTCTAACGCCTGGATCAGGAGATTACTTTTCAGTGGTTTGACTGGAAATCGGTCGATGTCTGCATTATTCCAGTCCTTTATGAACCATTGTAAATAGTAGATTGACAATTGGTTTGTCACAGGTGAAATTCGAGCAGCCATATGATAAACCAAAATTCCGAGCGCCTTATCACGTGTGACCGTCCGGTCAGCATCCGTTCTCAGCCGCCTGGGTGGCATTCGGTCACTCTAGCCGTTCTCCGAAATATATGATAAGTATGAGCAAAGTGTTCCCACTCCAACGAATAAAAGAATATAAATGCTCCCTTCAAAATCATCCAGTCAGTCTGAAAAAATTCTCAACTAGCCCAAGTATCAAAAATGTATCATCGCGAACCGAAAATAATACTGTACAAATTGAGTAAAGATAAAAGAACTCGATCTCCTGTTCGGAAACTGACAAGTTTCTTGTTTTTATCTTCATTTTTGCGCTACAGGTTCGTGCAAAAGAAAAAAGAAAAGGAAAAGAAAAAGGAAAGTTGATCTAACAAGCCATCTAGACGATTCCAGTAACGCTGGAATGTTATGTTCTCGATGGTGCTACGTCGAATCGAAAAAGTAGACTTTCGATCCAGTCGCTGCACTGGATTACTTGCACTGACTGAAATGACGACAGTCCTGGAATGAAAACACTGTTTACGTTATTCCAGTTGTGATCCACTTGGATCGGATCTGGAATCGGAAGTCGGAGTTGCAGTTGGAACTGGATTGGAATGCCGCTGGACCGATGTAAACTCAGTTTTATATTTTAATCCTTGCTAGTTCTAGTGTTACGTTTCTTTCGTAGTTAACTTCCTATTTAATTATCAAGTGCGATTTATAGCAATGTATTTCTTCTTTTGTTTCTTCCTCCAAGCTTTGCAATTTGTTCAAGTAAGATAAATTGGCTTATTGGCGTAGATTTATATATCACGTAGACGTTTATCCTAATAGAAAAACGTCAGTTGCAATCGCGTTAGTGCAACTGTGTTAATTAAGCGTGGTGGAATTTGTGGCGATTTAATGCGCAGGTCAGCGAAGAAGGTCAACCGAGTGTCTTCTCCGTGATCTCCTCGGATGATCAGATCTGTAGCGGCACATGAGTTACAGTCAGTTGTCGATTAGTTATCAACCAGTTATCAACGAATTATCAGCGATCTAATTAACGAGTCATTAGCGATCCTATTTTAGCGAGTCGGTTAGTACAAGTGTCTTTGCCAACATTATCTGTATACTAATTTATCATTTTAAATATATTCGACGGTTTCAACAACGAGTAATCTCGTTCATTAAACCTCATCGACCAACCATCCTCTACGCATAAACCTCTAGAGATCTATAAAATTCTCTGGCTGTCGTATTGGGATGATTTTCCAGCCTGCAATAATGTGCCATAGAATCACTTGGTCGCTACTTGTCTGCCTGTTTCATTGAGAAATTCTACAGCAACGTCTGAAGAGCTGTATTCCCTATCGCTGAATATATAAGAACTTCATGGCAATTACTCTATAGAATTAAACAATTTCAAGGACTTACTATTGTCTCAATCTACCGAGAGGCGAGTTATAAATTTCACTACTGAAACTTTGGCTTATATTAAAACCGTTGTATTTTCTGATTTCTCGTCTTTATTACGTTGTTAAATAGGCGATTAGCGAAGTTTTTACGTAGAACCTGCGTTATTTTTACGCCGGGAGAAATTGAAAAGTTACTACGATTTGAATTACTGCAATAAAACTTTGTTACTTTCAACGATCAAACAATTTCTGCTTTCGTATATCATCTTAACGCAATCTTTCGTCTTATGGTTATTAAATTTCTTTAATAAAATCCAGTCCAACGCGATACAGAATTTTTTAATCCAAAGGATAATCAACGATCTTAGAAAATTCTTGGAAGATTCGAAGAAAAATGACTGCAAAAGAAGCTTTCAAACGAAGAAGACATCATCTACACATCCTTCATCCGATGAGTCACTCTGTGCATGTAAGATTACGTAGAACGGTCTGGCTTTGTGACTAGAAAATTTCACGTCTATCCTCTGGCAAAGACCGAGTCTTATCGGAGATTCGCAGTGTCTTAACTTTCCATTAGATAAAAGGAGACACTAGGGAGAGAAGTACAAAAGCGAAGCTTAGAGGGGCAAGAAAAAGAAGAAGATCGATGGGGAAGGGGTTAACTGCTAACGACACGGTTTTCATCATGCACAGGAGAACGCTTAACCGGAGGATTTTTCTAGTTAGTCGTACGTGCTCAAGGGAGCGCCGCGGCGCCGTGAGTGGAGCACTAGAGGTTGCAACATCACCGAGTACCCGGAATATCCGAAGCTTGAGTACAGTAAAGTCCACTTCGTATATCCACGGTCTCCAACGATGAAGTGACCCGCCAGACGCCCATCAGCTGCTCAGACGTAGACACGATGCAGTTAGCTTCTTCCACTTGTTCACTGTGCGTTACCTCGCCATCATCTTCTTCCTTCGTTGGCTCCTTTGCCTTCTTCTTCGCCCTTTCCCTCTCTTCCATCCACGTGCCATCCTACGTCTCGTCCCGCCATTATGGTTTTTCGTGTTCCTTCTCAACCCCTGCGCCTCCTATACGCGACACTCCGTCCCCGTTTTCCCAACTTTCTGTCTTCTCACGCTCTACTCTCTTCGCAACGTGTTCTCTCCGCTCCGCTCCTCCCTGGCGCGAGCTCGCTGCGAGGTTGCTTGTGAGCGCGTGAGAAACTCGAGAATTTCGTCGCGAATACGAGCAACAACAGCCACGAGAGAGAGCAGAAGACGCGAATAACAGGTCCCTTTTCTTTTGTTTATTTAAAGTCACATCCGCCTTTGAGGGTTACTAACCATTACCGTGACGTAGCTTTACGAGTGGAAAAGGATCGAAAGGGTGTTTCGTCCTGCCGCAGGACTCATCGGCAAAACTACCTAGCAGGTTCGCGATTTAGAAATCGAAATTGGAATCGGAGGTCGTACTGGAAATTGTATTTATGGACACAACCATGCGAGTAGGTCGCGACACTCATATATACCGGAGCATAAGGGAAAATTGAGTCTTTTACGCCAGTTTTGAAAATTGAGTCTTTCATAAGGTGCCATGAGCATCTCAGAGACACGCTACTCGTCTCTGTCTATCTCGCAAGAAAGAGAACTTTGTTATTCTTCGTTTTGATATTTCACGACTCAATTCTCGCACGGTTTTCCCCAGCGAGTGTCGAGATTTGCTTATATGACCGTGTTTCTGGGAAATTAGGTAGTCAAAGCGGTCGCTTGCGAGAAAGCTTGCGGCGACAGAGTACCTACGGTAATTCATTTGGTTTGTACAATACTGTGTTATGCTAGTCTGCTATTGGACGATATCATAGATATGTAGAACACGTTGTTGCAATGGACATATTATTCCATTGTTTCACTGCAGCCAGATTTACTGAAGAAGATTCATGTCTTTTGGGAACTATAAGAGACGTTTCGCTATTTCCTTCGTATTCACGGTCGACTTACGGTTGTTTAGCGTGCCATGTCGTTCTCTTTCGTTTTCATATTCCTGGCAATCACATGGTTACGACGCTGTAGTTGGCGCTTGACTGATGCTGCCAGTATCGACGCATCTTTCAGCTATCTGACGAAGCTAACCGCAATATTGGCAAAACGTTGGGAATCTTTTGCTGTTGCACCGGCTCTTGCCAGGAAGTCTCAAACAGTATTAAACACGGCGGTATTAAACTTAACAGTAACAACGTTAAGTGCGATAATCCAGACCGTGAAAATAGCATCAAGATCCTCTCTTAGCAATTAGGATGTATTTCACGGCGAATAATAGATCGAAGCAGGCTGATTTTGATACCATTGACATGTAAATTGTAACTGCGCACGAACAATAATATTTCACGAGGATAGATCGCGTATATAGATTCGCGAATGGCCAACTAGACGAATTTATTAGTACCGGAATATGAGTGTAGACCGACGCTAGACCGCGTCGTTACACGAGTGGAGATCAAGGTCGGGTGATAGAATAGAATGAATACAGGTCGTATCAGCCATCTGCAGCGTGTTGAGACTATATAGATGCAAGATTGCCAAGTAATGTTAACATAACTCCGAGCGAAATGAGTGGAAAACGATACTAACGCGTCTATGTTCATCTTTTGTCTAGATGTTTCTTTAGCGCAAGGATTGATGTAAACGGCTCGATTTGCGCCGGTATATCAGTTTATTATAGCTCACCAGAGTAGTAGCTTCCTTTTTCAGTTGCACGTGTTTCTTGCTTTTATACGTTATCTGATTTATAATTAAAGGAGTGGAAGAATGTTTGAGAATAATTTTAAGATTCAACATGTTGCTAAATAATAATTGCACAACGATTTTTCGGCTCGTGTACTTTGGAATAACAATATGCGATATGGACGTATATAATGTTTAAATGAAAGGTGGTATAGGTATATAATAATAAAATTATTTATAACTTATAAAAGATACTTGTCACATAAATCAGGTCAGACAAGATAAAACATAATTTATCCTAATCTTAGTTCAGTAAACGAAGCACAGTCTGCGGATATTTATATAAGCATTTATACAACATGCCCAATTATGAAACAAATGTGTAGGTAGTATGCTAAATTATTCGAAATATATGGACACGTGTACACTTACGAAATACGTATTTTTGCATATAATCATCGTTAATAGGAAAAATTAATTTCTAATTTGTACATGTAACAAGTTGAAATCGGTGCCTGATGAGATGTATTATATTAAATAACAAAGACAAAATTCAAAATAATAAATGCATTTATTAACATTAAAATCGCGTATAAATTGCATGATATATAAAAATTGCAATCATATAAAGATTTAAGAGTCAGAATAGATCGAAAGAAATAATTGATCCAATAGAAATCCGCAACGCTTATACATATTATACGACGTATATATCGAATTCCAATTTTTTGGAAAAAGTTATAAAAAAAGTAGCGACCATACGAACGTTGCAGTGGAAATTTATTGCAAATATGTTGCACGTACCTGGGGCACGTAATAGTATAAATTCAAACGTGTGAGTATTTACGAGATGAAAATACCTTCGAGTCTTTCTTCTTACATAGATTACTGCTGCAACATGTACCGTCGTATTCTCTGTACTCTCGTAAACCGTGTGACATTCTAAGGTTCATAGATATCGCCATTAAAAAGCTTTTTCGCGTATCTAAACGTAGTTGCTGTACTGGCTTATCGTAAGTACCGTGCGAGAACAACTACGTGTTATGGAGTTTGTTGTGGCGCGCGATTCCTCGCATTGTTTCATCTCACAGTGTTAATCGTTTCACGTAACAACATCGAAACTTTGAAACTGCTACGTTGCAGTGTGTCACTGCAGCCAACTACTCTTCGATGATGTGCTATGCAATGATCGAAACACCTTGTTTGTTCGCGGAGAGACGCGATCGCGAGATAGCACGTCAATGAGAGTCGTAAATTCTCGTTATGATTAAATAATCGACGCCACGAACTGATCGATCCTTTTATTTCTGTTATGATAATAGGGGTGGTTCAATTGAACATTCGCTGAATTAACAGGTATAAATTAATGTTTATTCAAACAACTTATTGATTAGAGAGATATAAATTGATAAGGTATAATTGAGTTTCGATTGATAGCCAAAGTTACAGTGTGTGGTTTTTGTACAATTTGTCCAGTTTGGACATTTGGCAGAATTTTTTAGCTGTTTGATTATCATGTGGGTGGCCACCCCCAGCGGGATACCATCTTCGTGTTTGTTAGGTTGTGTCCTTGCGAGGTCTGCTGGGTGTTTCCTTTTCAGTCTACTATCCATGTTTGAGGTTTTTTTTTAAATTTATTTATTCACATTTTACAATTTGTCCAGTAGGACATTTGGTAAAATATTATAACTTAGTGGTATAATAATATAACATGTGGATGGCTACCCCCAATGGGATACCATCTTCGAATTTGATTGATTTATTTCTTTAGTGTGGTGAGTGTTTTTATGTTAGATTATGTCCTTTGTGAGATCTGTTGGGTGTTTCCTTTTTAATCTTCTTTTTATGTTTGTTGCGCCGACCATTTCCACTGCCAGCCAGTTCGGGTGCGTTGCTATTCTTTCTCTGTACCTTCTTGCACTTCTGTTAATCTCCTCCTTGACCGTTGGTATTCCCAGGTCTTTTCGAATGTCCTCGTTTCTAACGTACCATGGCGCGTTTCCTATTGTTCTGAGTATTTTAGATTGCATTGCCTCTATTTTGGTTATATGGCTCATTGCTGCTGTTCCCCAAGGTGCTATTCCGTATGTCCAGATTGGTTTTATGACCATTTTATATATTTTTAGCTTGTTTTCTATGCTTAGTTTGGAGCCATGTTTGAGGTGTTGATCGTTTCCGCAGCTAACTGGTTTGGGACAGTGTGTAGTGCGCGACGTAAGCTGAGATGATGACGGTTGAAAAAATGCATAAAGACTCACTTTTTGTGAAAATGATGCTGCGGAGGGAAGCTTGCGATGGGTGGGTCTAAGGACACGAAAAGAGCTGATTTGTTGATGACAATTCTGGCTAGGAAGTGAGGGCAGTAGACGTTGCTTCTGATTGCATAATAAGAAGGTTGGTGGACTAGGAAGGGTCTTAGCCGCCCTCGATAGAAAGTTGCTAGTGGGAAGCATCGTATGTGAGAAAACTAACTTTCCCGTAGTAAACGATAAACCTTTAGAAACGATTCAGTAAAGAGATGTTTGTTCGGTCTGAAGGACCTTAGCTAGAAAATTCCTGAGATTTGTGGTAGGTCCTTGAGACTATTGAGGGTATTGAGGTGCGTGGCCCGATCCAGGTAGAGTGTCGCCAGACGTGACACACCTAATCATTGATATCAATTACAAGATAGCCTGCTTTCTTTCAAGCTTACGATATCGACTCAAAGACTAGCTCTCAAAGACAAAGATTAGCTCTGCTAATTAGGAAACTTTTATCTACTGTTAATTAGCGTGGTGTTTGGAAGAGATCAACTTAAAAGAATTTGTAAGTAGACTGCGAAACGTCGATGCGGTTGTCACGTAAAATTGATACTTGGATTGTAAGAGAAAAGAAGGCCGAGTCGTAACCCAACTATTCATTTTCTTTCATCGAGCTTTGTTAGAAATTTAGCACTTACAATAATAGAATAACACTGAACCGGAGAAAGGGTGTCGTACAAGAACAGCAACTAGAACAAAAACAAGAACTGTCCGAGCTGGCTGAAGTCTCGGCTTATATGCGTTTTAGTTTGAGGATGTTGAGGGGCTCGGTGTAGCATATTTATTTTTTATTTATTAAAATTACAATCAATTCTCGTGTTGAGAATTTTCAGTAATTTTTCTGGCGTGGCGCAGTAACATGGTTAATTATTTGTAATAAGTTAATACTTGTTATAGATAAGTATAATTTGTACGTAAATATTGTAAATAAGTAGATGTTACTTAATTTAAATAACTAGTTGAATCTGCCGTTTAGGTCTAGCGAGTGGTGTCTTTTCAGCCTGCGAATCTGGTCCGTCGTATCAAGTAGTCCAGTGATTAGGGGGTTCCGGTGTTTGTTGACTCTTTTGCTATATCTGTCGCTATATTTTGCTATTTCTTCTTTGACTGTGGGTATCTTGAGGTCGCGGTGTATTGTTTCGTTGGTAACATACCAAGGTGCATCAATTAGGGATCTTAGCATTTTCGATTGGACGGTGTAGGATATGATGGATATGATGATGTGGAAAAGTGCCCGAAGGTCAACGGTCGATATCCTATCTTTGATGTGGACTAAGGTGCGTCACAATCTTGGTGTAGGCTATGATGATAAGGTGATGATGTGTCCAAAGGAGTCCGATGCTCGGCGGTCGATGTCTTATCTCTGATGTAGGTTGAGATGTGATTGATGTCATACGGTGTTGGGAAATTGGAAATTGCAAAGAAGTAGAAAATGAACGTACTACGCAGAAATATAAAAGATATTCAAAGCGTTACAAGATTTTTTGATAAAAGAACTTGTTATGGGATTTAATAGCTGTTTGTGAATTTAATGGTAACTTTTCATGCAGGCTCCAGTTCTTTGGTTATGTTGAACGTATGAAATATTTCGCGATTCAATGATGAGTAAATTATTTACCCTTTGCAGTCGGAATTTTATTTCAATTTCGTTACCAGCAGCTTCCAACGCTTTTAAATGTTTTATTTGAAATTTACTTTAACTAAAAAATAAGGCAATTTAAATAAATAGAGGAAGAAACAGATTCATTTAAATACCAGTTCTATTCACACTATTGTTGTATTTTGTAAATATCTTGAAACAATTTCCAGGGTGCAATCCTGGTTTTTTTTCGCGCGTCTCAGAAAGAATGTCAAGTGGGACTCGACAAAGGAGCTCCTGAGATAAAAACTGATGTCGAATTACACTCGACATAGGAGTGCAAAGGGTTAAGTTTTATTCCTGTAACAATTATTATTGTGGAAAAATGAAATAAGATCCGCAATAATATCAAATGTTTAAACGTTGCGTAAAAAGGTAAAATCATACGTAACATTATGGATTAATCCATTAAGAACCAATCAGTAAATGCAACAAGATCGAGGAACATCAAATTACACATTGTCTTCTGAAGATATTGGGTCGTTCGAAAAGTTTCTTTCGTTTTATAAGGAAATAATGGATGCACAACATTTTTCGTTTTATATTATTTTATCGAATTACGTATGATCCATTTTGTTCTATCAAGATGAAGATCACAACGTTGGACAGATTAGGTTTCATGTTCGCATAAAGATGCGTCGTTGTAAAAGACGTGTCTGTAAAAGAAAGACACTTTTCGGACAATCTAATACAAAAGATGCATTAGAATAGTAAACGTTTCACAAAAGCACACCGCGCAATACAAACATATGAGCAGCATGTCTATGATTTAAAAACTACAATTTATCACAGTGGAATAAGTACTTTCATATCTTTAAACTTCATCATGACGTAGGATCAAACAAGCTACAAGGACAGAAAAGACACATTACAAAATTTCTTGGAATTTCCTTCCATGCTCACAATGATAAATGAGCAAGATACGATAATTTTAATTCGCTGAAAAATGTTGCAGATAAGACTTAACGCAACATTGATTCTTAATAAATTAATAGCAGAAGATTGGAAGAAAATCCATCATCCAATATCATACACATACCATATATCATATATCAACATATACTATAGCAAATATCGGCATATCTACGTATATAAAAATTACAGTAAAATTGAATATGTAAATCAGCGAATTAAAAAAGATAGCGAAGATATCAAAGCAAAGAAACAGACAGCGGTTTAGCCGCGACTGATTAAAAGAGGAATGTTCGCCGTCGTATGTAGGGTAGTAGCAAGTTGAGCGAGCTTTTCAGTTACTCGGTAAATTTTATAATTGTTTCCTAGCATAGGCCAGCAGATTTAATTATACGGGTCCGTTATGTTCTCGTTTCCCCTGAGGCGTACATTACCGCCTTGGAACGAATGTTAAGACGAAATGTGGCTCAGCAGCGTCGCGGTAACGCCATTACGTCGCGACCATTAGCTTTAACAAGCATCGAGTCAAATAATTAGCGTCATGCACACGAGTGCTACGTACGTGTTCCGTGGTTCAGATACAAAACGGTTGGTCGAGATCTGTTGACCGATTCGGGCAGAGCCTTATCTTTATCACGAGACAAAGTAAAGTAAACCCGCAAAATCCGCACACGCAGAGCGCTTATCCGATAGAGGTGTCGATGCTCAGTAAAAATACGGTCTGTCATTTTGCAGATCGCAGGAAAAGGACAGTGTCAATGGCAGAGAAAGAGGTTCGGCTTGATCGAAGGAAACGTATCGGTGGATCAATGCAACGATAAAACTTTTTATTTTTCATTTTTGCCGAATTAGACTTTGTCCAACGTAGATGCTTTTGAGACCAAACACGATATAATTCGATATATTTTCCTATATTTAACGTATGACAACTAATTTTCTTTTGCATACCAAACGTGTATATAAATATGATTTAAAAAATATCGTGTTTGGTTTTATTTCGATCAAAAAAGTTACCACACACTGTTGGATTTCCAATTACGTTCAAGATCAGGTGTCAGAGCGAACGTCGAGCGGAATTGCCTGCAGTAGCGCGGATGACGACCGCGCACTTCTGGCGAGGACCGCGGTGAGCACTTATCCAATGTTTGCCATATATCGTTGAGTTATTCGTCGTGCATCGGAACCACTAAATACCGCTGGCCATTCACTCGATCCAACAAGTAGAGTAACGGTTACATTCGGGAAATAAATCGACCGTATTACGGGCGAATCCTTTTGCTAATGCAAGACACAGTAGAGGAGCGCGTGCCGACAGCAATGCAGTTAGTGGAGCGTATAGTATTCGCGAAGCGAGCAGCGAAATTTGAATCACAGATAAGCCTTTTAATGTCGTGTTAGATACCGCCCCTGGTTACTTTGAATTTTATCGACTGCTTTGTGAATTGCTGATGAAACTAATCGATTGGCCAAAGCTCCGAGCGAATCTTGTATTCGTAGCGGAGCAATTTAGTGTCTCGCAGCAATTCCAGGTACAGAGCGTTCGATAATATACGGTAGAAGATGTAAATGTAGGGGATGCTTTTGCAAGTCTAAATGAAGCGAAGATGAAGAACGGACAAAGAATTACGTTGGCCACTTTGTTTATCGGTTATTGTATCTAAGATTTAACGAAAATATCATCAGCACGAAAAGGTATAAGATAATATAATAGACGAGCGACACATTGGATTGCCAAAGCTGGATGTTTCTCGAGTCGAAAGTGAAATTAGTTTCCTTTAGTTACTTTTAAAATGAAATAATAAATTATAAATTACTTCGAGTTGTTTCTCTTGATTCTTATATTAGGTTGCCCGGAAAGTTTCTTTCGTTTTATAAGGAAATAATCAATAATTTCTTTTATATTAGTTTATTGAATTATGCACAAACATAATAATAGAAATATAACGAAAATAATATACAACAGAAACTGTTGTTCATTTATTATCGCCTTACGAAACGAAAGAAACTTTTCGGACAACCTAATGTCAAATGAAATTTGGCCAAACCTGCTATCACAGTAAAACGTAATCCAATTTTGCTATTTTATTTGATTCGGTTGTCAACGCTATAGCGGTTTTAAGGACGTATTGGCTTAATCCTTGTACTCGTTTGCATAAAACGTGTGGCTTGGAAAAATAGAACGACACTAGAGATGAAAGAAAGAATGATATAAGAAAAAATAGATCGCTGCAGAATGTGTGTCGTACCTACCCGGAATTCGCGAATAACCATATTTTGAAATTCAGGCTCTTTGAAATATCGTTAATTTGCTATTTCAAACAAGTATACACGCAATATTTAAACCTCCCTGTGTACAGTCTGTAGCTTGAAGAAAATGTAGCAACGCTGCGGATATTAAAAAAATAATAATAATGAAAGAAAATTTACAGAATCCATGGTATCCTGAATAAAAGTGAAGCGTCGTAAATTACATCATCCGAGTTTTACTCGTTATCTTCCTGTTTACTATTCGTCACTTTATGAGGAACGTTATTCAACTGTCAAGTTTTACTTTGTAAAAAATAAAATAGCGCCGAAAAATATAATCTCGGAAGTTGTTGTTTAACTATCTTTTCCTAGGAATATAAATTCTTTCTTCTAAGCAAATATGAATTATTTGTCCTGGCTTTGTACTATCGGTCATGGCCTTGCAAAGTAGCGTAACTGATCTCTTTTTCTTTTTAGTTAAAGCATCTCTCTGTCAGTGTAAAATTTACAACTAGATTGCGGTTATTTGTACAAATTCATAGGAAGGTAGATAAAAGAATGGAGCTCAAACAGAAATTTGTTTCACTTATTAAGTAGCTTAATAGCTGCTAAGCTTTGCATATTTTTGCATATTTTATGTGCTGTGCAAAGCACATCACGCGCATTCTGCGTATTCTTGCACTTTGCCTGTGAATTTAATAAGCTTTTTATGGAAAAGTCCGCATTCCATCGATAGCATTGTGAATGGATTGCTCAAGGCGATAAATTTGTAAAATTCACATAATAGCCGGTTGTGACCTGTGCAGCATTAAAATAATAGAATTTAATGGCTACTCGAAATTTAGGTCAAATTAACCTACTCTTGTATCATAGATCGAACTAAGGAGGCTCTACATGTCGAAACATGTT